CACTGGTGGGATGTATGGGGCGGGCCATTCTGCGCATGCGTTAAATGCGTTAAATATTTTAACGAAATTAATTCAAAAAATGTATTACCGCCGTTAACGCGATAATTTTGACAGCATTACTTTAAATACAATTTTGCAATCCAAAAGTATATACATCCTACAATAAAGCTTCAGAATGCAGACATTGGATAATATGTTAGATCAAATGTGAATATAATGTTCCATAAAAATCCCAATCATTAGTTTCTACTTGAACATTTGTTGTAGAAAATCACTTTATGGATACACTAGTAATGGGGAATCTTAAATATGTATTTTTACAGACAGATTTGGGAGAAGGAATTCTTATAATTAAACATAAATGTGTATGTTACCTTCACAGCATTCTGCAGTACAGCCACCTGTCCACCGGGTGGAGCTGTTTTCAGCTTCATCAGCTCATCCACAGCAGGACACAAAGCATCCAACTAGCGAGGAGGAAAAGAGATTTAAGAAGCTTTTTAATGACTATCTTGCTGCTGAGGAACGGATAAATGTCCAGAAAATATGTTGAGACGATAACCTACCATCGTTCTGTCTCCAACGTCAGCACCACCATACCTGAAAAGAGTTACAGATGGTTAATCAATTTGCATTTTGTTGTTGTTGCTGTTTGACCTATCAATTAACTTTATTGTGGTAGTGTTTATTAATTTATTTAATTACAAACATATTGAACACAAGCTTCTAGAGTACATGGTGAGTTTTAGTTTGGACAATAAGTTATGTTTGACGTATACTAAGAGGGTTAAAATCCTTAAAACTGAGAAATAATGTGTTTTCCCGTGAGAATTGACTAACTTCTGACATAACATAATAGTGTCTTCAGTACCACAGAGGTGATTATCAGATTATATAATAAGAATATACATACTTTATTGAAGTGAAATTGAAAAACAAATGTGTTACAGCAGCATGTAAACAAGGCATTACTTCTTCATGGCCTGTGTCCCAGCATGCATTGCAGTAGCCCAGGCTGCACCGTTGCTCTGCCCTTCGGTCACATGACCTGCCGCCGCCGTCAGGAATAGACTGTACAACTGTAACACACACATGAAGAAGAGAGTGTGTGTGTGAGCGAGCGTGCATGTGTGTGTGTGTGTGTGTGTGTGTGTGTGTGTGTGTGTGTGTGTGTGTGTGTGTGTGTGTGTGTGTGTGTGTGTGTGTGTGTGTGAGAGAGAGAGAAGTAGTGTTTAATTCCAACTTTATGTCAAAATCTGTTAAAATCTAGATTAAAGATTTGATTTAATTTATTGATCTCAAATCTGAAAAAACTGTGAAATTAAATAGAAAACATTCAAAAACAGTGAATATATATATATATATACATGTATAGAGTATTATCTATCAAATACACAAACAAATAAGTTATAGAATACACTTTTAATACGTCAGTCTAGCCTTTTTTTTTTGTAGAATATGTTAGAAAACGTACCGCTCCTGAAGACCCGCCCATTTTCTCCTGGACCAATCCAGCGAGGACTGACAACAGTCGCCCAGGGCAACCAGGAACCACATGATCCTGGAGCCACTCCTGAATGGCTGAAAGACCGTTTTAAAACATCTTTATCTCGATTTAAAACACTTGAATGTCATCAAAGCTTCTGTAGATGATGTACCTTTAGCAGCCTGAGCATGAGTGTTACCGCAATCTCCGTCCCCGGAAGCACGGTCCAACGCATTCAGTTCCTCCTGCTTCTCCAACAGTGTGGTACAAACTTTAACCAGCACTTTACGCATGACGGGACTCAGAGGCCCTGCGGGAAATTAAAAAAGACAGGCTTAGTTAATAAATCATTTATCCAATTACTCCATGTCATCACTGCAGGTTGTCGTTTCAAATGATCATACAATCATTTAAAACATAATAGTCTTATACTTAAATTGTATTTTTAGTCTTGTATGTGTTTAACAGAGACAGATGTTAAGGGTTTACATTTCAGGAGGGCAAAAGGAAGTGTATGGTTTAACGATGGGATGTAGGACCAGTTGGATGTTTTCTTTCATGAATATATAGTGTGACTGTAAACTGTGTTCGGGGTGCAAAACTTATTTTTCCCTCTGAGAATGAAGTCGCTCTGTTCCTGCATGAGATCGATTTCACTTGTATTTTGACTTTCTTTATTACTTTATTAAATATAACAAAAAACTTTGTCCATGAATCCTTTATCAGTTTCTCTTAAGAATTTCCTCCACAGAGGTAACCTTGAATCCTCACCTTCTTTGTGTGTGTGGTCCTGTGGGCGGGGGCTCATCTCTGGAGCTTCTGTGATGAAGCTGCGTCCGCTCACACACACACTGCTGAGGTTCGGCCAGGCGGGGGCGCTGGTCTTAGCATCTATAGGATACACAGTGTACGACAAAATAACAATAAACCTCACAGACATAGAAACAGAACATGTACAGGTCAAAAAGAAGTTGGATTGAAGCCTGGATATACAAAATAATGAAATTAAAGGTGATTTAAATTAAAAAATGTGCGTTTTTCATGCAAAACTGGCAGAGAATAGTGTTTACAGCCATGCAAAGTATTCAACCTTATATATATATATATCCGAATATTTAACAAACTAAGAAGTTTAAAGACATTTGTGTGTGTGTGTGTGTGTGTGTGTGTGTGTGTGTGTGTGTGTGTGTGTGTGTGTGTGTGTGTGTGTGTGTGTGTGTGTGTGTGTGTGTGTGTGTGTGTGTGTGTGTGTGTGTGTGTGTGTGTGTGTGCTCACCAAACAGTCTCAGTGTTTCCTGGTCGACCGTCATCACGCTCAGCGAAACTCCCACCATCTCCAGTGATGTCATAAACGACCCCGACATCACCCTGGCAACCACCACACCGCGACTCTCTGTAACCGTAGAAACACTGGTTATTCAACACATCCTGTATCCATGTTTAGTATTAACGAGAGGTCACAAGGTCAACAAAGGGAATAGAGTGGTGCAGGAATGAGTCCTAAAACCGGGGGAAATTAGCCAGCTTTTCTTTTAGCACTTCTTGTATCCACGGTTACCCAGACAGATGATGGTTGCTCTGGTAACAACAGCCATCTCTAGACAGGACAACGCTCCGAGGTTGTTCACACACACCACCACACTGTTGCCTGTGTGGAAGAAGAAGAACAAGGAGTGTGAAAAATAAATGTCAGCATGCATTCAAAGTTTTATTACTTCCGATTATTATTCCATATTTTATTTCTATATAAATACTGTTATATCAAATCAGGTTTTATTTATAGC